TCTGCTAGTCCTCTGAAACACAAGATGACCCAGGGGGACACTTCTTTCAGAGGCCTGTGGGGTGGGTAGCGACACCACCTGGGAGACACATAGAACAGTAGGTAGGAGACAAAACCACCAGCACTTCTCAGTGGGCTCATATCTATACTCAGTGGGTTGGAGAGGCACAACCACCTGAAACAGCGGTGGGGCCATTTCTGTTAGAGCCAGATCTGCCTCCCTTGTCCCTCTCTCTGGGTCCCTGTCCCTCTCTCTCTATCCCTCTCTGTCCCCAGGTCTCTATCTCACTATCTTCCCCCTGTTCCTGGGTTTCTCATACCTCGGGGAAGGTGTCTGTCTGTCCCCTTATCTCTGAGGGTCTCCCTCTCTCAGTTTCTGTGCCTTCCTCTGGGTCCATGTTCTCTAGTATCTCATCTCACTGCGTTTTCTCCTTTCTTTGTATTTTTATTCCTCTCTTGCTGTAGTCTATATTCACCTCTCTGGCTCTGTTCTCTTGCTTCTGCACAGCCCCGTGTGACCCCGGAGGGTGAGTACATTCCACTGGACCACCAGGATGTGGATGTTGGCTTTGACGGAGGCACTGACCGCATCTTCCTCGTATCCCCCATCACCATTGTGCACGAGATTGACTCGGCCAGTCCACTGTACGAGCTGGGGAGGGCGGAGCTGGCCCAGGCTGACTTTGAGCTGGTGGTCATTCTTGAAGGTATGGTTGAGGCCACAGCCATGACGACACAGTGCCGCTCATCTTACCTCCCAGGTGAGCTGCTCTGGGGCCATCGCTTTGAACCAGTCCTTTTCCAGCGTGGCTCCCAGTATGAGGTTGACTATCGCCACTTCCATCGAACATATGAGGTCCCAGGGACACCAGTCTGCAGTGCCAAGGAGCTGGATGAACGGGCAGAGCAGGCTTCCCACAGCCCTAAGTCAAGTTTTCCTGGCTCCCTTGCTGCATTTTGTTATGAGAATGAACTTGCTCTGAGCTGCTGCCAGGAAGAAGAGGAAGATGAGGATGCTAAGGAGGGGACTTCAGCAGAGACCCCAGATCGGGCTGCCAGTCCCCAAGCTCTTACACCAACCCTGGCACTGACTCTGCCTCCATGACACAGCTGAGGTCCATTTCCCCATGTGGCTCCCCTTCCCAAAGATGACAGTCCATTGGGAGGAGGGGGTTTCCAAGGACCAGTGGCCTGCTGGGACAACCATTACCCACGAGGTTGTCTACTACAGATAATACCAGACCTTCATTTCTTGCTCCATTCTCACTCTCAAGACCCCTTTATGAGCTGGATTCCTGAGTCTTATGAGAGCTGAGGGATCCACATTTCTGGAACTTCCCAGAGGCAAGGCATAAAGGCTGGATTCTGGTTAGATTTCAATGAGATATACGGCTTTGAAGAAGAAGATGTCAATTTACACAGATCAAGAAACAGAGTCAAGTGATGATGGCTTTGCTACCCTCAGGAGGAAGTGGGCAGAGTACTCCGAGGATTCGGGATCATCATGACTGGCCAAAGACAGACTGGTGCCCAGACTCTATGTGAAGAAAAGCCCAAGAGTTGAGATCCTCTGAGTCTAGGTTGACACGGGGGATTCTAGAACAGGCTGGCTAGAGAGGGGACCTACTCCAGAAACCACAACACACAGAACATCGGTAGGACTAAGATGACGTGAGGCTCCTGATGCTGGAGAACTCTAGCGTACTGGCTCTTAGAGTCCAGCTAAGGGAGTGAGTCTGGCTTCCCCATGTCCACGGGGTAAATTTTGCTTTTGTTTGAAGTGCCATTCTTAGAGCATCCAAAGGAATCAGGGTTCTGTGGGTCGAGGTTGATCAGAGTCAGGCAGGAGTCTAGATGCCTGTGTTTTGCTGGCTCCACCTTGCCCAGCAGGGTTGGGGGGGGTGCTCCATGACCATGGGCGACTTCCTGTGTGGTTTTATGATGCCAAAAGGAATCAGAGCTCCAGGGACCCAGAGCTGTCCTTTCCCAAAAGTCCTAGTCACCTTCAGATGGACAGCCTGGTAGTCGTAGGAGGCAGACACTTTTCTGGACAGAGCTTGCTAGCAAGAGCCTAGAGGATCCCAGGGCCAGGGAGCAAAAAGGAAGGGGAGGCTGAGGCTGGGGGGCCTAACATATTCTGGAATACTACACCTAGTGATGTGTGTCTGTTTCTCAAAGATATTATCCATATGTGTATTATATATAAATACAGATCTCTATCTTTTCCGTTCATTCCTGCAGTAAGATGTGAACAGGTTCAAGCCACTTGGAGGCCTTTGCAGAGATCTGGGAAGCCTTTAAATCCCAGCAGCTACAAATGACTTCGGGCAAACCTTTCCCTGTGTTGCTTCAGTTTTTCCTGGAACAACAACCCCTAGAGCTTGAAGTTCTCCCAAGCAGGATGGTCCTTCACCTATGGAGGCTAGGACACTTGTCCCCACCCTCATGCTGAAACACACAGCCCTCTGGGGTAGCTGGGAGGGGACGCTGACTTGATGGCTGGTTCCATACTGGATGTAAATTATAGGACCAGTGAGAAACGTGGGCTATCACCAAGGGTCAATGTCACCACCACCCTGCTTCAGGTCAGGGTCTTGGGATAGAAGAGGCAGCGTTATCTCTGGGGTTATGTTCACTGTGAGAAAAGTGGAGTTCTTAGGGGAACCCTATCACTGTCTTAAAGGCCCAAGAGCACCAACGGGGTGCCTGTGTTTCTGGAATTTTAGTTCTTGTTCTTGGCCTTCACCCACAGTGCAGTCACCCAGCAGGCTGGTGGCCAGCCTCAGGGGAACTGCCAGAAGGAGGTGTCCTCACCCATGTTCCCGACTGAGAGCCAGCACTGGCACTGGCTCGCCTGAGTGCTGAATCCACCCATGCCCTCTTCTGGCCCGCATCATGCTTTATCCTTCAGAATCCCCAGGTAATAACCGGACAGGATTAATTAGCTTGCAACCCTCCCCCCTCCAGGCCTAGGGCAGGGACTAAGGATGATGGAGGCCATGGTAGAGAAAGATGCTAAGATGGGCTGAAGAGGCAGGGGCATGTGGTTCTATTGGGAAGGAGGGGGTGGGAGAGGACTGGCACAGCCAGAGCTCTGCAAGGGAGGGCATGCTTCGGGCCACTCATAAAGGTCAGAGAGGGGATTAAGAGACTCCATGACTAATCCAAAGGCTTAACCAAGTCCTGGCCCTGAATCCGTCCTCACCTGGGCAGCCCAGGGACACAGATGAGGACGAGACCTGGAAGTCCCTCTAGCCCCATCATGGGCCTATGATTTACAAATATGCCAGAGTCCCCATCACAGACAGGTCCCTCACTGCACAGCAAAAAGGACGAGGATGGGGGGGGCGTTAAGAAGGGCAGGAGTGTGGGGACAGAAAAGGTTGGGTGGAAGGAGGACCTTAAGTACAGGGGCCTGGAGAGCTGCCAAGAGAAAGTCAGAGCAGGCGGATGATTGGGGGTGGGGTGGGGTTGTTTTGGGAGAATGCCTGGGGAAGACAGGATTTGAGGAGGAGGAAGCTAAGAGTTTAGGAGAGAGGTAGAGTCGAAAGACAGCGCTGGGAGGGTAGAGCCAGTGTATTCATGGTTCCCAATACATTTGGAAGAGATAATGCCTTTAGTTTACCATCCTTTGACTCTGGAATATTGAGGTGTGTTAGGAAAGTCACATGAGGTGGTATGGAAAGGGTTCAGAGATAGCAACTGCCTGAAGAAAGAAGTACCCTGAGAAAGGAGGCAAAAGACAGGCCTGTGCAGCTCCCAGTTGCTCGGCAACTGTCGCAGTCAAAAGCTAGCGTGGAGGGCGCAGGAGGTGTGGCTCCAGGAAGCAACTCTAGGTTGAGACCCCGCCCTTGACAACAAAGCTAATCAAATCCCGCCCCCTAACAACGAATTCCTGAAAGGGGTTCGGCAGCCTCCCCTGGCTCTTACGCAGGCGCAATTCTCCCTGCTCCACGAAGCCCCACCTCCTGACCACTCCTTTTTGAGTTTTTTTATTGGAGAATAAAGCTGCCAAAGATTTTCCTTTGTTTAGGAGGCGGGATCAAACACTCTGTCCGCACTCTGATTGGTTACTCTAGCAGTCTATCGCCAGCTGTACGTTCCTGCAACTGTTTCTCGCGTGCCTATTGGTCCTGGCGATGATAATGTGGCGTCGGGGGCGGAGCAGTCGGGGAAACCCGCAGCGGATTGGGTAGTATCAAAGCGAGGGGCGGGCCCCACCGGCCGGGCGGTTGGGCCGTGAAAGGAGAGTCTTTTCGGCGCTGAGGACGGGCGCTGAGGAGGCGGCGGTGGCTCCTGGGGCGTTTGAGCGGGCTCACTCGAGCCCGCGGGCCGACGCGGACGCAGGCCCAGCTGGCGGAACCGCCCCGGACTCCCCGCGGGCCTTCCTAGCCGCCATGGAGGACGGTGTCTACGGTAGGCCGGGCGAGGCGGACGGGCGGAGTGGCTCCCAAGCTCAGCCCAGGACAGGCGAGCGGTCGCGAGGCGCTTTTCTGCGCGCGGAACCGGCTTCCGGCCCGGCCAAGAGCCGGGGATTCCGGGGCTTTGTTTGGGCCGAGCCCTCTTCCGGCGGCGGCGGGCGGGGCGGGGCGGCG